TTTTTTTTCACCCGAGATAGATACAGTTCATAACAGGGCTATGAACAGAGGTTTATAAAAAATGTAAAAATGCCAATATACTAATTCCTTAATTTATTTTAACTACATTGCATTTGAGTATGGAGAGGCAACTATCTGGAAGTATTTTACATAAAAAATTTACTAAGTATTGCCCGGTTTGTAGTTGCAGTTAAAGAAAACACATGAAAAGGCACGATTTTTTTTAAATTCGAAAAAATGTAAATATTTCAAAAACGGTGACACTTTTACCTGAAAATTTTTTGTTTATCAGTGAGCTCACCCCCCCACCTACCTTGCCCTAAAGTTTGGCACGTTACTTCTGGGACACCCTGTATAACAGGGCTATGAACAGTGGTTTATAAAAAATGTAAAAATGCCAATATACTAAACAAACAACGCCTCGTGTAATATACTTCAAAAAAAGAAAGTACCGATGCAAATAAGATAGATGAAGGTAACAATTAAAATGCACATATAATTATTTCACTGAGGTAGATAACTCGAATCCAGCGCTACCTAGCTGATAAATTTTTCGCAGAGATGTTTTTCTTCCCTTACCAATACACATATAGAATATGACCGAAATCCGACTATAAATACGATTTCTAGTAATAACTCACAAATATAAACACAACTAAGAACAAGTAAAAATGTATAAGTTCGGGCAAAACCGCACTTTATATACCCGGCACACGTATTAAATATCGTTTTTTCAAAGGAGTATTTTCCCAATGTCAAACAGTTTCAATAATATGCTATGATATATTGAAATAATCGGACCAAATTTGGTGGAAATCGGTAACGCGGTTATCGGTATATACTTCTGTAAACATAAGTCGGTGGTGCCAAGTCCATTTAACAAAAATCAATAACCTTGTGTCTTGTTAAAAAATTGTTGCAAGCTGGCATCTTTAGTTATTGAAAGATCGGAGTTTTCGTATTTCTGAAATTTACTGTTGTATGGTAAGTGGCAGTAATTTAAGTCCGATTTCAAAAATTTTCAACATATTGCTTTTTTGCGCCAAGGTTGCTAAATGTGCCGGGTTTGGCAGAAATTGATAAACGGGGTACCGGATACACACATGTAGGCGTAAGTGGGCGGTGCCACGCGCATTTTCCAAAAATTCCGCTAAAATCATTTTCTGCTAAGAGGTCATTGCATATATTGATTTTGAGTAAATTAGCTTATATGAGAGGTGGGCGTGGTTCTCGTCTGATTTAAAAAATTTTCAACGAGTTTGGTAGGGATTGTACTTCAAATACCAACTTGCAACAATTTGGATCCAGTATTTGAGGAAATATCTTAGTTTTTGCATATTTCTAAAATTGCGTTATATGGGAGGTGGGCGTGGTTATTGCCAAATTTCGTTGACATATCTCAATTTTTACTCGAGTTATCGTGTACACGAACAGACGGACGGACGGACAGACATCGATTTCTTTTTTCATTCTGAGCATTTATGTATACATTTGTCTATTTCTATCTCAATTCGTTTTGGCTGTTACAAACAACCGGTATGCGAACAAAGTTGTGCACAAGTGCGCTCGCGCATAAAAAGTTCACATTAATCGGACATTTTATATACATACACATATAGAGTGAAGATATGGCTGTAAGTATTTTTTCGTGGTTTCACCCCAAATTTCTACTACACACAATTATGAAAATCATATAAATCAACAAATATTTTAGTTTTGTGATTAAATGGCATAAAGTTATTTATTTAATTGTTATTAGTTTTTAGATAGTTGGCAACTCTATCTTAAAATATCGTATTGAGCTCTTTCAAATACGTTTAGTTTGATATCCGTACTGTTAGATTGTATAGGTAAATTTTTTATTTAAATAACCCTTTAGAAATTTTTTCCGAAGGGTGGCAACCTTGTCCAATTTTTTTCTAATTTAAATTATCGGCCGCTGTGCGGCCTTCCACTCCGAAAGGCCTGGGTTGAAGCCCTGGTTAAAGCAACATCGCAAAAAAATGTAGCAAAAAGGTTTTTTCTTAACAGTGGTCGCCCCTTGGCAGGCAATGACAAACCTCCGAGTGCATTTCTGCCATGAAAAATAGCTTCTCATAAAAATACCATCGCCGTTCGGAGTCGGCGTAAAACTGTAGGACCCTCCCCCTTCGTGTGACAACATCAACGCGCACGGCACAAATCGGAGGAGAAGCTCGGCTAAACACTAACACATGTGTAAGCGCCAACCTATTATTATTATTATTATTATTATTATTATTTAAAATTTTGCTATACATTCTCAGTGAAATAGGATTATTTGGGTTTTCTTTTAATATTTACAATGTTTTCCAAGCTAAAATTTTTTAAAAAATTTTTTTATATAGGTAAATATAATTCATGCTTTAAAATAAGTTCGTCTAAATTAATAAAAAAGAGCAAACTCTGCCAACAACAAAAAAAAAATTAAACCAATGCGATTTTTTAGAATTTTGTATAAAGTTTGATTTATATGGTTTTGGTTAAAAAATGAATCATGTGTTTATAAGAAAAATTTTAGCTGTAAAAACATTGTAAATATTAAAAACAAAACACCATTCAACCAGTACACTTGCACTAGTAATAGACAACCTTGTACCAGTTGTTGACATACTTTAATTATTACTATTTGTATTATTAACCCCAACGGTTGCCCTCCTCCCGCCTATCCGTACGAGGAGCGCAGTCCGCATTTTTAGTGAGGCCCTAAGCAATGTTCTCACCGAGTTTGGTAGGGATTGGTAATGGGACTACAGAGATACAGCATTTAATCATAAGTGGGAGAGGCCATACCCATTTTTCCAAAAATTTTATAACTGCCTTATTTTATGCCAAAATTCTACTTCAAATACCAACTTTCAACGATTTGGATCCAGTATTTGCGGAAATATATTAGTTTTTGCAGATTTTGAAAATTCCGTTATATGGGAGGTGGGCGTGGTTATTGCCCGATTTCGCCCATTTCAATCCCAACCTTGCCCTTGGATAAAGGGCAACCACCTAACAAATTTCGTTGCCATATCTCAATTTTTGCTTGAGTTATCGTGTACACGAACACGAACGGACAGACATGGCTTAATCGATTTCTCTTTTCATTCTGAGCATTTATGTATACATTTGTCTATATCTATCTCGATGCGTTTTGGCTGTTACAAAGAACCGTTATGCGAACAAAGTTATAATACCCTCGTGCACAAGTGCGCTCGGGTATAAAAAGTCCATATAAATCGGACAATCCGTTCTCGAGTTATGGGCGGTTATACGTACGCACCTTAGTTTTATATACATATGCATATAGAGTGAAGATATGGCTGTATGTATTTTTTCGTGGTTTCACCCCAAATTTCTACTGCACACAATTATGAAAATCATATAAATCATCAAACATTTTAGTTTTTAGATTAAATGGCATAAAGTTATTTATTTAATTGTTATAAGTTTTTAGATAGTTGGCAACTCTATCTTAAAATATCGTATTGAGCTCTTTCAAACATGTTTCGTTTGATATCCGTACTTTTATATTGTATAGGTACATTTTTTATTTAAATAACCCTTTAGAAATTTTTTTCTGAAGGGTGGCAACCCTTTCCAATTTTTTTCTAATTTAAATTATCGGCCGCTGTGCGGCCTTCCACTCCGAAAGGCCTGGGTTGAAGCCCTGGTTAAAGCAACAACGCAAAAAATGTAGAAAAAAAGTTTTTTCTTAACAGTGCTCGCCCCTGGGCAGGCAATGGCAAACCTCCGAGTGTATTTCTGCCATTAAAAATAACTTCGCATAAAAATACCATCGCCGTTCGGGGTCGGCGTAAAACTGTAGGACCCTCCCCCTTTGTGTGACAACACACAAATCGGAGGAGAAGCTCGGCCAAACACTAACACATGTGTAAGCGCCAATCTATTATTATTATTATTATTAATTAAAATTTTGCTATACATTCTCAGTGAAAGAGGATTATTTCGGCTATTTTAAATAAATTTGGTGTTTTCTTTTTAAGATTTACAATGTTTTCCCAGCTAAGTTTTTTTTATTCCCTTTTTTATAAAAATATAATTCATGCTTTAAAATAAGTTCGTATAAATTAATAAAAAAAAGAGCAAACTTCGTCAACAACAAAAAAAAAATTAAACCAATGCGATTTTTCAGAATTTGGTATAAAGTTAGATTTATATGGTTTTGGTTAAATAATGAACCATGTTTTTATAAGAAAAAATTTAGCTGTAAAATCATTGTAAATATTAAAAACAAAACACCATTCAACCAGTACACTTGCACTAGTAATAGAGAAACTTGTCCCAGTTGTTGACATACATTAATTATTACTATTTGTATTATTAACCCCAACGATTGCCCTCCTCTCGCCTATCCGTACGAGGAGCGCAGTCCGCATAACGTACGGAACTTTTTTTTCATCTTTGCGTCGAGTCACGAAAGAAATAAGTTTTTAAGTGTCGAGATCTAAACCTAAGTATTCAGATACAGAAGCAAATTCATCAGCTGATTATTATGTCTTTATGTTAGTAAATCATTTAGTGAGAGAGGATAGTATCGCTTTCTTAATGCTGAAAAGCGAATCTGATATGAGTAAAAATTCCTAAAGGAGTAACGAACATTGCAGTAAGTATTTGCATTTCTCAGCTTGAGTATTCAGAAATATTTCCGCAAAATATTTAGCCAGTATTCGATTTTTTACATATATATTTTTTTAAATTAATAGTTTGGACCTTACTTTTAATAATTATTACAACCAAAGTTTTCATGCAATTTTCATGAAACTTTGTGACTCGTAAAAAAATAATTTTCTACGATAAAAATTTTCATGCAATATTAATGTTTTCTAACTATAAATGTTCCTTTAAATATTTATTGTAATGTTCTCATAAAAATTTGGGTAATATTGGTGGAATGGGGAGTGCAATGGGGTATAGTCGTTGTGTTGGGTATGCAGTTACAGTTGCACGGCTATACTCAACCCCGACTCTTGCGTCCTCGTTCGCGCACTCTGGGCAACCCATGTGCAAGATGCGGTAACCAATCCAAGTGGAGCCTTGGGTCACGGCAGAAAGAGAGGAAGCTTCAGTGGGGCCACTCCGACTTAATCGGTTTGAAGGCTCACTGAAGTCTGCAGCGTCTGTTCACCAGTATGTGCGGCTGCAACCGGGTGGCTGTCTTGAAGCCAGCGGCTCACTATATAAACGTGTTCTCGGTTGCGAAACCACCCCCGTCCCAGCAATGAGCGAAGTACAGCCTCGGATGGACAGCTGCCCTGTAAAAGAGCGCAAATTTAGTGTTGGATTTGTGGTGGGAGAGAGACTCTGTCGCCGAGTACTGTCGTTCACCCCGGTGGACGAGCGTCTAGCCATAATCCGCATCAAAGCGAGATTCTTCAACATCTCGCTCATCTGCGCCCATGCCCCGACGAAAGAGAAGTATGAGGCATCCAAGGATCTCTTCTGTGAGCGCTTGGAGCGCACGTACGAACGCTGCCTCGTCATGATATCAAAATCGTGCTTGGCGACTTCAGTGCCACTAAACATACAGTGGTAGTGAAATTTGAAATGCGCTACCACTAACGATACAGTGGTAGTGAAATTTGGAATGCACTACCACTAAGCATATAGTGGTAGTGAAAATCTCGATATAGTGCAGCGTGTCCAACCCTGTTCACAATACGCCAAATCTTGGAAAAGACCGCGAGAAAGGGATCGACACTCACCACCTATTTGTCGACTTTAAAGCCGCTTTCGGGAGCACTAAAATTAGTTGCCTATACGCCGCTATGTCTGAATTTGGAATCCCGCCAAAACTGATACGGCTGCGTAAAATGACGTTGACCAATACCACCAGCTCCGGTAGAATTGCGAAAGACCTCTCCGAGCCGTTCGCCACCAAACGGTGTTTCGGTCAGGGCGAATCCCTTTCATGTGACTTCTTTAATCTGATGTTGGAGAAGATAATAAGAGCTGCAGAACTGAACCGCTCAGGAACAATTTACTACAAGAGCGTGCAATTGCTGGCTTATGCCGATGACATCGACACCATCGGTAAAAAAAAAACGCGAAGTCTGTTCTGCCTTTTCCAAGTTGGATGGGGAAGCAAACCGAATGGGTCTGGTGGTAAACGAGAACAAGACGAAGTATCTCCTGTCATCAAACAAACAGTCAGCACATTCGCGCCTTGGCACCCACGTCACTGTTGACAGTTATAATTTCGAAAAAGTAGAGAATTTTGTTTACTTGGGAACCAGCATTAACACCGATAATAATGTCAGCATGGAAATCCAACGTAGAATTACTCTTGCCAACAAGTGCTACTTTGGACTGGTAGGCAATTCAGGAGTAAAGCCCTTTCTCGATGTACGAAAACCACACTCTCTAAGTCACTCAACATGCCCGTGCTGGTATATGACGCAGAAGCATGGACAATGACAACATTCCATGAGGCGGCTCTTGTAGTATTCGAAAGAAAGATTCTGCGAAAGATCTACCGACCTTTACGCGTTGGTGATGGCGAATATCGCATACGATTTAACGATGAGCTGTATGAGCTTTACAACGATATAGACATAGTGCAGCGAATTAAAATTCAGCGGCTCCGCTGGCTTGGTCATGTAGTTCGAATGGACACCGACGCTCCAGCTCTGAAAGTATTCAAATCGGAACCCGCTAGTGGTATTAGAGGAAGTGGGGGCCCTCACTGCGATGGAAAGGCCAGGTGGAGAAGGACTTGGCTGCACTTGGCATTTCCAATTGGCGTCAGATGGCACAGAAAAGAAACGACTGGCGTGCTTTGTTGAACTCGGCCAACTCGCTTAGGCGGTTACAGCGCCAAATTAGAAGAAGAATGTTGATACGAATTCACCGTAGGGGCATATGTAACGTATACACCCCGTAGCATCATACGCAGTTATGTAACACGTTTACTCGCACGCCTTAACACTCACGTGATCGGGTACTCTGACCTTACGTAAGTGGTCGGCATAGGTACTAATAAGAAAAAAAGTTCTTCATGTACAACTCTCTACTTTTTTGTGAGTTGGCGAGTTTATGTGGGTACATTTGTGTGTGTATATAGATTTTTGTGTCTGTAAATATGTGTGTTAGATTTTCGTAAATTCAAAAGTTGGTAAAAACAAAACACATATTGATGCAAACAAAACCAATGTTTTGTGATATTGATTCAACACTAAATTGAGATCAATAATAGGGTGATTGACTCGGTTTTTTTAAAAAGGTTTCCATCGTTTTTTTTCTGATATCTATAGGCGGTTTTTGGAAATCTTGATATTTCGAATATCGAATAAACCAAATTTTCTTATCGAACAAACCGGTCATTTTTTATTTCATTCACATCTAGACCTCCCAATAAAAGGTTCGAGTTTTTCGAAGTTTGCAAGGCTTTTTCTAGTTTAAGGGAAACCCCTAAATACATAGTTTTAAAACTATATCTTAGTTTATTTGGGGATGAACCGTATATCATATGTGATTCCAATAAATGAATGTTTGGCGCTACAAGATACAAATGGAGAAATCTATACTTTTAATCCACCTCCCAAGAAGCATTTTTCAGTGGGGCTTGCCATTGTCTGCCGAGGGGCGACCGCTATTTGAAAAAACTTGTTTTGATGTTGGTGGGACCAGAAATTGAACCATAGATCACCCGTGACAGTAGAACTCAAATACGGCACCAAGAGCACTATTCAAAGCTGAAAAAAGTCAGAAAAATTTTAACAAAGTATAAATGTTAAAACAAGACCCAACCTGAGTTTTTCACTGATTTTCATTTGTTTTACTTTTGACCTAAAAAAAACTTTGTACTTATTTTGTTATTTTCTAAATAAAAGCTATCTCTACTGGTAATAGTTTTATTATAATTTTTGGTGAAGACTTCATACCAACTGTATGAAAACTATGTAAATTAAAACCGGTTTATATGGATTTTATTTAATTTCAAAATCGGGAAACGGTTTTTTCAAATTGCAATTTTTGGAACAACTCGAAAACCGGTTTCGGAAAAAGGCGAATAATCGAACACCCTAATCAATAAGGAAGAGATATTAGTAAAATACAAAATAAAAATACATATTTCATTTGAAAATTTTGAATTTAGTTTGACATGCAAACCGATAGTTTTCCACATAATTTGCTTGTATTTACCCATAGGTACAAATGTACCTATGCCGATCACTATCATACTATTTTTTGCAAACACATCCAGATATCATTCCGTCCATTTATTTGGCTCAAACTTCATAAATGGGTTAAAAATACATCAATAAAGGATAACAGGAACGGTGAAGCTCTTGATTGGCCTCTTGCGACTGCAGGCGGGTTTGAAAAAGCGGCATAGGTAGATTTGTATCACATAAGTGTTAATTTAAAAGTCATATTTAGAGCTCGGATTTTTATGCAAATTGAATATGCAAAATGTATGCAACAAATATGGAAGAACTATGCAAAATATATTAAAAAATTGTAAAAATTACATAGTTAGATATTTAAAAAAAATATCTTTATGCAACAATTTAAATAACACCTAGGAAACAAGACCAAAGTCGTTTGCACCAGTGTCCATGTTATCAAGATTTCAGAGAAAATTAAACAAGTTTTGTTAAACGCATATCTTCAAATTTATTAACAACTTGTACTTAGTTAACCCTTTAAACTACTCTAGTAGTATCTGTGGGAAATCATCCGCATTTGCGGCCCCAACATTGCCAAAGTCCCCAACGTCATAGACCAGGAGCGCATTCCGGAGGAGAGTGGGGAGAAAAAGCCAATCCTCTCTTCTTCAGAGTCGGAAGAGGACCAATCTCTTGCAGGG